CCCTAATTTATTACAGAATAATATCTCTGTTGCTGTTGCCAAATTAAGGAGTACTGAGAAGAGATTGCTGAAACTTGGACCAGAATATGCTAAAGCTTATAACAACCAAATAAGGGATATGATCAAACGTGATGTTGCACGTAAATTAACACCAGATGAAATAAAAGGTTATGCTGGTCCTATTACATATCTTCAACATCATGAAGTGCTAAAGCCAGGATCTACATCCACACCAATTAGGATTGTCTTTAATTCCTCTGCCAAATTCATGGGACAATCTCTAAATAGCTTTTGGGCCAAGGGTCCTGATGTTTTGAATTCCATGGTGGGCATATTACTGAGATTCCGTGAAGGAGCCATAGGTATAGCAGGTGATATAAGTAAGATGTACAACAGTATTAAGCTTCCTGAAATGGAGCAACATGTACGCAGATTTGTTTGGAGAGATTTCCAGTTGAATTGTGAGCCTGAGCATTATGTGTTAACTTCAATGGGCTTTGGTGACAAACCTTCTGGAATAATTGCTATGTTGGCTCTTAAACACACAGCTGAGCTATGGATGGAAAAGTATCCCGATGCTGCTTCTATGATAATATCAAATTCTTATGTTGATGATATTATACAATCAGTTGAGAGTAAAGAGAAAGCTTTGCAGTTGATTCAGGAAACTGAGAAAATACTCTCATATGGCAATTTTAAGGTAAAGCAGTGGATTATGACTGGTGATGTTGATAAGGATGATCTAGATTTTTCAGAGAATGAAGGCGATAAAATTCTTGGTTTATATTGGGATCGTTGGAATGATGAATTTAAATTCAAAGCAAGGTTGAATTTTTCTCCTAAATATAAGGGTATACGAACAGGTCCAGATTTAAAATTTTCAAATTTTATTTGTAACATTCCTCCAGTTTTAACTAAGAGAATTGTTATAAGTCAGATGTGTTCTGTGTATGACCCACTAGGTTTACTTCTTCCATACACATTGAAAGCCAAAATATTATTACGGGAAACTGTCAGTTGCAGTACCAAGTTAGGATGGGATGACCCTTTGCCTGCCCATATGAAAGAGCAATGGGTAGTACACTTTCACAAATTATTTGGGATTGATTCCTTGTCATTTGAAAGATGTATCAAACCACCCACAGCGATAGGTCTGCCTATGCTTGTTATTTTAGTGATAGTTCATCAAATGCATATGGTGCTGTGGCTTATGCTAGGTGGAAAATGAAATCTGGAATGTTTGAAAGTAAGCTAATAATGGCAAAAGGAAGAATAGCTCCTACCAGACAACTTTCCATACCCAGACTTGAATTGTGTGGAGCAATTATTTCATGCAGACTACGCAAATTAATCGAAAATGAATTATCATATAGATTTAGTTCAGTAATGCATATAACAGACTCGGCTATTGTGAGAGCACAGATCCAAAAGGAGTCGTATGGATTTGGGACTTTTGTAGCAACACGGGTAGCAGAAGTACAATCGAAGAGTAATCCCAATGAATGGTGGTGGATTGCTTCTTGTCACAATCCTGCAGATTTACTTACTAGACCTAATGATCCATCAGATATTATCATCAGTTCATTGTGGAAGTATGGCCGAAAATTCATGACTCTACCCAAAGAAGAGTGGCCAATAAGTCAATCTATTGAATGTGACTTGCCTGATAGAGTCCATGTGAATTTAACACACTGTCTGAAGGACTCAGATGAATGTGTTATTGATTTATCTAAGTTCAAAAATTACAATAAACTTATTGCAGTTACTGGTAGGATATTAAATGTAATGAAGATCAGATCTTTAAAGGGTATCTTATTAAGACTTGAACCTGATATTCTAAATGAAGCATTACAATTTTGGATCAGGCAAGCACAAAAATGTTTTTCTGGTAATTGGAAACAGAAATATCAAAGATTGGGACCATACAAGACTGAAAATGGTATAATTATGGTAGGTCAAAGACTGGAGCATTGGTTAAAACAAAATTGGAATCAAGATAACTTTATCCTGTTACCCCGGAAACATTTGTTTACTATACTTTATATTAGTCATTTGCATAATATAGATCATGCTGGAGTGGATGTTACACTTAGTAAACTGCAGACAAAGTTCTGGGTTCCTTCAGCACGTAAAGTCATCAGAGCAGTGAAACGTAAATGTGTTACTTGTAGGAGATTAGATTACAAAGTTGAAGGTCAGTGCATGGGTCAAGTCGCTACTGAAAGAATAACTCCATGTCCAGCTTTCTATCACACTGCTACAGATATCTTTGGGCCATTTCAAATAAGAGACAATGTGAAGAAAAGAACTACTGGTAAAGCTTATGGTGTTATATTTAATTGCATGGTTACTCGTGCTGTATATATTGATATTGTTGATGGATATGATACCCATAGTTTCTTGAAGACTTTTAGACGTTTCACAGCTGTCCATGGATATCCAGCTACTGTTCATTCAGACTTAGGCTCTCAACTGGTATCAGCTAGTAAGGAACTTCAAATAGCTATAAATAACTGGAATATGTCTGATATTTCTGAATTTGGAACAAAAGGGGGATTAAAATGGATTTTCAACCGTTCAGCTGATGCAGCATGGCAAAATGGTGTTAGTGAGTCCTTGATCAAATCTGTGAAAAGATCCTTAGCCATGATAATTGGATCTACTCTGATGACATATAGTGGTCTACAAACTATATTTTTTGAAATAGCAAACCTCATGAATGAAAGGCCTATTGGATTAAAACCTGGTATGGATTTAGAATTAGGAACTTACTTGTGCCCAAATGATTTGCTTTTAGGCAGGGCAAGTAATCATGCACCATGTGGACCATGGAAAGATTCTTTCAATACAAAGAGAAGGTTAGATTATATACAAAATGTTGTTAATACATTTTGGCGTAAATGGCAAAGAGATTATTTCCCTACATTAATTGTTAGACAAAAATGGCATACTGATAAAAGAAATCTGCAGTCTGGTGATATTGTGTTGATACAAGATTCTAATACAGTTAAAGGAAAATGGAAAATGGGACAAGTTGTAAAAGTAGAAAAGGGAAGAGACACTAAAGTTCGGGATGTGAGTATTAGATATAAAGTGCAGAAACCAGGTAAAGAGTACAAAGGTCAGTCTGATACTATTGTGGTTTAGGTAAACACACGGTAGTCAATTCAACTCTTTATTGCTGGAGTTACAGAGGTGTGTCACGGTCAGAGTCAAGCCGATGAGTGTGTCTGTCGCTTACGACTCCGCGGCTTAAATGGGCCAGGCACGATGTTTACTCCCTGGTCAGGTCCGGAGAGGTAAGCGGTGATTGGTGGTGGTGACTGGACCCTAACTCGCCAAACGGTGTGTGTCAGGTCCTACGGAGCGCCGAAGCTTGCCGCGGGCTGGTCACCACAGCACTCCCCTTCCAGTGTAGCGGTCGCGAAACGAACCTTCGAAATTGTGCACTGCTCCTGCAGGTGTGCAGGTTTCACGCGGTCGATGCAGACGGTGTCCTCCCCTCGTGGACGCCGAATGGTGATTGTCTTGCTGTCCCGCTTGATGACAGGGAAAGGACCCTCGTAGGGCGGGCACAGGGGGGGCTTGGCGGGTCGTCTGACGAAGACGTGTGAGCAGTCGTGGAGGTCGCGTGGTAAGTAGACGTCCCGCTGCCGTGAAGGTCGGGTAGGACGAGCGCGAATACGGGCCATGCGGTCGCGAAGCTGCTTTCCGAAAGCTCCCGGGTCCTGATTTCCGGAGCTAACTATGAAGTCGGCAGGGAGGGCTATGGTGGTTCCGTAAACCATCTCAGCTGCGGTGCACTGAAGGTCCTGTTTGAAGGAGGTCCTTATGTTCAGGAGTGCCAAAGGCAACTGGTCCACCCATTGGCGCGTGGAGGATGAAGCTGTGAGAGTCTCCTTCAGGTGGCGGTGTAGGCGCTCTACCATGCCGTTGGCGCTGGGGTGGTATGCCGTGGTCCGGATGCGCTTCGAGCCGAGAAGAATCATCAGTTGCCTCCAGAGCTCGGACTCGAACTGAGACCCGCGATCGGTCGTGACCGTCGCAGGAGCTCCGTAGCGCGATATCCAGGTGCTGATGAAGGTCTTGGCAATGGTCGCGGCGGTGATGTCCTGGATAGGGGTGGCCTCGGGCCACCTGGTGAATCGGTCGATCATCGTCAGGACGTAGGTGTAACCCTGATCGGCTGGGAGAGGGCCGACCACGTCCAGGTGTACATGTTCGAAGCGGCCGTCTGGTACCAGGAACACCTGTGGGGGGGCCTTAGTGTGTCGGTGAATCTTACTGCGCTGGCACTCGATGCAGGTGCGGCTCCACTCTCGGACATCTCTATTGATGCCCGGCCACACCACGCTGATCTCGCTGACAGCTCCGCGGCTTAAGTACACTAGCGCTGTGTAAGCACGCGGGGAACGAGGGGAGCCCGCTGGCCAATGAGCGCAGCCAGCGGCGGCGGACCTAGCATGACCCAACCTGGGAAAGTATGCTGAGCTTCAGGTTGCGGGGTCATGCTGCTACAGGCACTCCCCCTCCAGAGAGTGAGCTAAGCGAACGAGCGATAAACCGGAACGTGTCACTCCATATTTCGGGTCACTCCGGAGGTCACCAGTATAGTAGCTGGTTAGGTTGCCATCTACTATGTTTGGTCTGGTGTCTTATCTCTTTATGGAGTGACTGTGTGGGTGTGAGTGCCCACGGGTATGGCTGGGTATTGGAGACTGGAGTTGGAGTTCTACGGGGAGCCGGCTGGCTCCCCAGTCGGTTAAGGACTTGGCAGTCCTTGAGTGCCGTTGCTGTAGTCGGTGAGTCTGGAGGATCGGGGGTTGCTGATCTCGCTGACAGCTCCGCGGCTTAAGTACACTAGCGCTGTGTAAGCACGCGGGGAACGAGGGGAGCCCGCTGGCCAATGAGCGCAGCCAGCGGCGGCGGACCTAGCATGACCCAACCTGGGAAAGTATGCTGAGCTTCAGGTTGCGGGGTCATGCTGCTACACTATCATTAGAAGATCAGTCCACAAGCTGGTTGTATTATTACCGGTGGAAGAACAATGATTGTGTGGGGGAGTGTATCATTAGTTTGTATTAACTAATGATAATTTATTCCTTTTTTGTTATTTTATCACGCATGTCCAATTTCTGTTTTTTTTATGTGCTGAGCATGATGGGAAATAGAGGTAACGCATGGGAATTTTGAGTCATAAACAAAGATCCATATTATGTTTTTGAAGTTGTATTATAAGTTGCAGTTTTATTTTCTTGTTGTTTTGGGATGCTAGAATTGTATTTAGCATCTTTAGAAGCAGATAAGCATATTCCCAAAAAAGAGATCTTCTGTTCTAAGTGGAAAACAGGGATAACACTTCACGCTCACCAGATGAGGCAATGTTGTAAGTTTGATTTCTTTATAATTTGCATTAATATTTTGACATAATTTTATTTTTCTTGGAAATTCATATGAGTGATTTGGTATTTGTTTCATTTGTTGTGCCCATGTTATAAGATTTGTGTTATTTGTGTGTTAATGTTTATTGCAGGTCGAAATAAATCATAAACCATTATGACAAGCCGTATTATTTCTGGTGACCCGTGAAACACATACATACATACATACATACATACATACAAACATACAAACATATAAACATACATACATACATACATACATACATTCATATATGTACATATACAAATAGACAGGTAGACAGACAGACCAAGGGCAGAGAGGAATAAGGAAAAGGAAATGGAAAAACGGACAACCGAAGGCAGAAAACAGACACACAACAACTCAGTCTAATTCCCGCAAAAGAAAAAGAAAACGAAGTCAAAAGCCATCTTGAGAGAAAAAAATATAAAAAAATGCTTTCATATTATAGCCAAACTCTCCGCATCTCGGGTTCTGTAGCGACGGAGCGAGAACAAGGTATAGAATCTCTCTCTCTCTCTCTCTCGCTCTGTCGCACTTCCATCCTCTCTCTCTCTCTGTTTCTGTCTATATCTATCTGTCTGTCTGTCTGCCTCTCTCTCTCTTCCATCCCCTCTCTCTCTGTCTCTTTCTCTCTCTCTCTGTCTCTGTCTGTCGATCTGTCTGTCTGTCTGTCTGTCTCTGTCTCTCCCCCCCCCCCTCTCTCTCACTCTGAATAGACTTGATATTCGGTCAACGTTTTCCCTAATATTTGTTCACCTCTTTTCCTTTTCTCCTTTTCCCTCCTCTCTCCCCGCTCCGGCGATGCAGCAGGGTCGTTGGTTTTGTGGCTTTTCGGTCGTTCGTCGTGGCTGAGGGAGGGACTGCTTGGGCGCGGGCGGGGGGAGGCCGACTGCGAGGGCGTGCGCGGGGCTTTGCTCTCTCGCTTTCTCTCTCATTCTCTCTTTCTCTGCCTCTGTCTCTCTCTCTTTGTCTCTGCCACTCTCTCTATCTCTGTCTGTCTCTCTCTCTTTCTCTGTCTCTGCCTCTCTGTCTGTCTGTCTCTCTCTCTGTCTGTCTGCCTGTCTTTCGCTCTCTCTGTTTGTCTGTCTGTTTGCCTTGAACCACCGACATGCAGATAGTTCGAAAACTGATAGTTGCAAGGGATTTTCAACTTTTTTTCCGCTCAACGCCCACACTGACGTGCATTGCAACAAGCCGCCGCCCACACATGCTTTCTTTCAGAGCAATAACTCCCAGACGCCCATTTCGAAGCACAAACGGCCAACAAGACACTTGATATACTTTCGCCTCAGTATGAATCACTGATGACTGATGGCGATGATGTTGCTTGTGATGCTCATCAGGACAGAAATACCAATTTAGGAGTCTGTAGTTATGATGGCAGTGGTAATAGTAGTAATAAAACAGTAATGGTGATATGAACAGTAATAGTCATATTGATAATTACAATTTTCATTGTAATAATAACAGTACTGGTAATATAATAGTAAAATTCACAGCAATAAGGAAATAATGACGACAGTAACAAGGATATTTATAACAACAATGGCAGCAATGGTGATGGCAACAGTGATGCTCACAGTAATAAAGCAGTAATGGTAATAGTGACAGAGACAGAAATGGCAAAGGTGACAGTCATGGAATAGTGGCTGGCAGTCAGGCCGATTCTTCGTCGTGGTTTTTGGATCCATTCGAGTCACGTCGAGCTGTAGGGGGGAAAGGCTCGGGGAAGGGGGGGGGGGGTGAGTAGGCCCTTTTAAGAGGTTTAAAAATAAATCGATCGTTTTCCTGTATTTCGTGTTTATATATACAGGACGTTTCTCCCCTTTCGTTTTTCTTCTTTTTATCTTTCACTAGTGTCGAAGGGATTTTTCACCTCCTCCCGGTTACCTGCTGGAAAGGCCAACGAATGAGGCCTATTTAGGCATAAACAGCCCGACGGGACCTCGCCCGCCAGGGCGTCTGTCTTCTCTGCCTCTCCTTTTCTCTCCTTCGTCTTGCCACACACGCACGCACGCACACGTTTTGTGGTGCAACAACTGCCTTAGACACAGGGGGTGAAAATAATTTATCTATTTATGAATGCAATATCGTATGCAAGCAGATGATGAGATGAAAGAAGGGATGACAAAAATGGAAAGATGGAAAAATAGAGATAAAGGTTGGGAATGGTATAGGTGATAATCAGAAAGTCAGAGCAATGAAACACACACGTAGATAGATAGAAAGATAGATATATTATCCTTAATTAAACCAAACAAAAAATAGACCACTTCCAGAGTGCAGGGGTTTGCAAAAAGAAAGAGAGAAAAATAAAGAATAAACACGAGAGCGAGGGAAAAGGCGAATGCCCAGAGGCAGAAGCCCCCCCTCCCCCCGTCCCCCTGTCGCCTGGTTTCCCGCCGGCGCTTCGGGAACAGCTTTGCTCTCTCTCGGAGCTGTCTGGCGGCGGGGAAGGCAGGTCGGGCGCAGGTTTACAGGCGGAAGAGGAGGAGAGGGAGAGAGAAGGGGAGAGAGAGAAAGAGAGAGAGAGAGAGAGAGAGAAGAAAGAAAAGAAGAAAGAAAAAGAGAGAGAAAGAGAAAGAAGAAAAAGAGAGAGAAAGAGAAAGAAGAAGAAAAAGAGAGAGAAAGAGAAAGAAGAAGAAAAAAGAGAGAGAAAGAAAGGAAGAAAGAAAGAGAGAGAAAGAAGAATAGAGAGAAAGAGGAAACAGGGAAAAGAGATTGTGGACGTACATATATATGTGTGTATGTATAAATATATGTGTATATATGTATATGTGTGCATATACGTGTGTGTATACATATGTGTATATATAGGAGGGAGGGAGGGAGAGAGAGAGAGAAAGAAAGAGAAAGAAAGAAAGAGAGAGAGAGAAAGAGGGAGAGAGGAGGGGGGGAAGGAGAGAGAGAGAAAGAGAGAGGGGGGAGAGGGAGAGAGAGAGGGAAGAGGGAGAGAGAGAGGGGGGGAGGGAAAGAGAGAGAGAGAGAGAGAGAGGGGGGGGAGGGAGAGGAAGAGAGAGAGGAGGGGGGGGGGAGAGAAAGAGAAAGAGAGAGAGAGGGGGGGAGTGGGAGAGGGAGAGAGACAGAGAGAGAGGGGGGGAGGAGAGAGACAGAGAGAGAGGGAGGGAGAAAGAGAGAAAAGGAGGGAGGGAGGGAGGGAGGGAGAGGGAGAGAGAGAGAGAGGGGGAGAGGGAGAGAGAGGAAGGGAGGGGAGGGAGGGGGAGAGGGAGAGGGAGAGGGAGAGAGAGAGAGAAGCGAGAGAAAGAGAGAGAAGAGAAGCGAGAGAAAGAGAGAGAGAAAGAGAGAGGGGGAGAGAGAGTTAGAGAGGGAGAAAGAGAGAGGGAGAGATGGTGAGAGGGGGGGGGGAGAGGGAGAAGCGAGAGAAAGAGGGAGAGGGAAGGGAAAAGGGAGAGTGAGAGGAAGAGGGAAGGGAAAGGAAGAGCAAGAGAGGGAGAGGGAAGGAAAAGGAAGAGCGAGAGAGGGAAGGGAAAGGGAGAGCGAGAGAGGGTGAGAGAAGGGAAAGGGAGAGCGAGAAAGGGAGAGGGAAGGGAAAGGAGAGAGCGAGAGGGAGAGGGAAGGGAAAGGGAGAGCGAGAAAGGGAGATTTAAGGGAAAGGGAGAGCGAGAGAGGGAGAGGGAAGGGAAAGGGAGAGTGAGAGAGAGAGAGAGGGAGAGGGAAGGGAAAGGGAGAGCAAGAGGGAGAGGGAAGGAAAAGGGAGAGCGAGAGGGAGAGGGAAGGGAAAGGGAGAGCAAGAGAGGGAGAGGGAAGGGAAAGGGAGAGCGAGAGAGGGAGAGGGAAGGGAAAGAGAGAGCGAGAAAGGGAGAGTAAGAGAGAGAGAGGGAGACGGAGAGGGAAGGGAAAAGGAGAGCGAGAAAGGGAGAGGGAAGGGAAAGGGAGAGCGAGAGGGAGAGGGAAGGGAAAGGGAGAGCGAGAGAGGGAGAGGGAAGGGAAAGGGAGAGCGAGAGAGGGAGAGGGAAGGGAAAGGGAGAGCGAGAGAGGGAGAGGGAAGGGAAAGGGAGAGGGAAGGGAGAGCGAGAGAGGGAGAGGGAAGGGAAAGGGAGAGCGAGAGATGGAGAGGGAAGGGAAAGGGAGAGGGATGGGAAAGGGAGAGGGAAGGGAAAGGGAGAGCGAGAGAGAGAGAGGGAAGGGAAAGGGAGAGCGAGAGAGGGAGAGGAAGAGGGAAGGGAAAGGGAGAGCGAGAGAGGGAGAGGGAAGGGAAAGGGAGAGCGAGAGAGGGAGAGGGAAGGGAGAGGGAAGGGAAAGGGAGAGCGAGAGAGGGAGAGGGAAGGGAAAGGGAGAGCAAGAGAGGGAGAGGGAAGGGAAAGGGAGAGCGAGAGGGAGAGGGAAGGGAAAGGGAGAGCGAGAGAGGGAGAGGGAAGGGAAAGGGAGAGCGAGAGAGGGAGAGGGAAGGGGAAGGGAGAGCGAGAGAGGGAGAGGGAAGGGGAAGGGAAAGGGAGAGCGAGAGAGGGAGAGGGAAGGGTAAGGGAGAGAGGGAGAGGGAGAGGGAAGGGAAAGGGAGAGCGAGAGGGAGAGGGAAGGGAAAGGGAGAGCGAGAGAGGGAGAGGGAAGGGAAAGGGAGAGCGAGAGAGGGAGAGGGAAGGGAAAGGGAGAGCGAGAGAGGGAGAGGGAGAGGGAAGGGAAAGGGAGAGCGAGAGAGGGAGAGGGAAGGGAAAGGGAGAGCGAGAGAGGGAGAGGGAAGGGGAAGGGAGAGCGAGAGAGGGAGAGGGAAGGGGAAGGGAAAGGGAGAGCGAGAGAGGGAGAGGGAAGGGAAAGGGAGAGCGAGAGAGGGAGAGGGAAGAGGAAGGGAGAGCGAGAGAGGGAGAGGGAAGGGGAAGGGAAAGGGAGAGCGAGAGAGGGAGAGGGAAGGGAAAGGGAGAGCGAGAGGGAAGGGAAAGGGAGAGCGAGAGAGGGAGAGGGAAGGGAAAGGGAGAGCGAGAGAGGGAGAGGGAAGGGAAAGGGAGAGCAAGAGAGGGAGAGGGAAGGGAAAGGGAGAGCGAGAGGGAGAGGGAAGGGAAAGGTAGAGCGAGAGAGGGAGAGGGAAGGGAAAGGGAGAGCGAGAGAGGGAGAGGGAGAGGGAAGGGAAAGGGAGAGCGAGACTCTGAGAGGGAGAGGGAAGGGAAAGGGAGAGCGAGAGAGGGA